CCTCAGGGGTTGTTTGTCTGTTTAAGCCCAATCCCTGCAGTCAGACATCCAGCAGTTGGACATCCCCCTTGCCCCTAAATGCTTGCCTGCCTACCTGCCTGCTCACCCCAACCACTCGCCTTCCTGCCTGCCCACTTCTAACCACTCCCCTGCCTGCCTGCTCATTGAGCATCTGAGTGACCAGTTGTTCCAGTCATTCCACCGTAACAGTCACTTAGGCTTTTATATATATAAATTACATCATGTTTGTCCTAAAATTGATATAATGTCATGTTAATTATATCTCTATTTCAAAACTTTTAAAATAATTTTTTTTCTAACTTGGAAACTATTCAATTTCTTTGTTCATCAGGTTCCTTATTCATAAACAGTAGGGAGCCAAAACCGGTTTGGCTCAGTGGTAGAGCGTCGGTCTGCAGACTGAAAGGTCCCAGGTTCGATTCCAGTCAAGGGCATGTACATTGGTTGCAGGCACATCCCCGGTAGAGGGTGTGCAAGAGGCAGCTGGTCAATGTTTCTCTCTCATCGACATTTCTAGCTCTCTATCCCTCTCTCCTCCTCTCTGTAAAAAATCAATAAAATATATTTAAAAAAATAATAATAAATAAATAAATAAACAGTAGGGAATACTACCACCTAGGATTGTGATGAGATGAACATATTCTAAGTTATGAAGTGAGATGTGTATGTGGTTCCATGTGAAAGCTGTTAAGTTATTGGCATAAAATCTGAGGGATGCTGTGCTAAAACCAAAACCATCCAAGGTCTCTTTCAGATCTAAAAGTTATAGAATCCTAGAAAATAAGAAACAACATTTACAGAAAATATATACCCTCAAGTTTTATGTATAGACTTACATATGATATAGAATAACTTCTACCAAGTATAGGTTCTTAAAGCCATATTTTTATGGCATACTCTATTCAGAGATGGTTCATATTTTTCAGGGATTCCTATATAAAATTTAATAGCTGTATTGTCTTGCTTATTTCAAGTAATGTCTTATATTTTGTACTCAAATAGATAGTATATAGGAGAATGAAAAGGTCGGATTTTTTAATACTATAGACTCAAAAATGCTAAGCTGGGACATATAAATTCTTAAAAAACTTAAGTAGATGCCAGACTCCATTAAGGTGATGGTCTACCAAATTAAGTTCTCCTCTTATTCCTTAGCAATAAAATTATAGCTGAGCAAAAGACTTTACAGCTTAACTACATTTCTCAGCCTCCTTTGATGTTAAATGGGCCATGGGATGAAGTTTTAGCATTAGAAAGTGACCAGAAAAATTAATGTCATTTTCAGTTCTGGCCTGGTCTTTCTTTTTCTTTCCCAAATGCTGAGACCTGGTTCTAGAAATAACCTATTTCTATTATATTTCTATTATGCAGATGAAACAAAGACAGAGGGCAAAGGAAAGGAACATCATTTAAAAAAAAAAAAAAATCTAAGACCTGAATGACCACGTGGAACAGAGCTTCCTGATACCCTGAAGCCCTTAAATCAGGAACTTAACTAGATTTTTAAAAGTCATCATTGTTTTTAACAGTCACTAAGTGTGTTTTCTTGGTTTTAACAAGAATTTTCACCATAACTCTTGTTAAAGGTGAAGATCTTTTAAGTTTATAATACAATACAGGTTATCTGTTTAAGATAAAGTCAAAGATAAAAGGAAGAGAACTGAAAAAATGAAAGACAAGGGAGACATTTGTCAGTCCTAAGTACAGGGCATGAGATAGATTGCTCAAGTTCCTTCCTCAGACACTCAATTTTTAGAGTAGAATGCTTATTATTCAATAAGAATGAAGCACCAAACTCACTGTTGTTCTTTCTCAATTTCTGTCTAAAGTATGAGATGTCTAAAGTTTGGATTTAGAAAAAGACTCTCATCAATAAATTATTATGGAATATGAGATGATCCTGACAAGTAGATTCTGAATATGAATTTTTATAATATGCAAAATCTGCTATGAATTAAACACAATGTAGTTTAAGTCCGATCAATGAGAGATGCTAATCTTAGTATAAGTAATGTAATTTGAGCACAATTAATCCTTATAAAGTCAGATGTAGGTAATATTGTTTTGTTTGGTCCATATTTTCATTGAATAAATATTGTCTATATAAGATAGATGTCAATAAAGAAAGTTTATAATAAAAAAATTAAAATTTATAATTGATCAATTAATCATTAAAGAGAAATACTAATTTAGTCATTTATTCATAAAGATTTTGAGACAAATTGTCAGTCAAAATCTATTCCTTGTAGCAGAACAGAAAATGACATTTTGGCATTAGGATCAAAATCATGCTGCCAAAAATAATTTAATATGTAGTGATAGTTTATTAAATAATTTGATATTAGTTTCATCATGGCAATACTCATGAATTGGCAAACCTAAATCTAAGACTATTTAAACAAAAAAAAGTTTTCAGATAATCCTCAAATAATTAATGTACAAGAAGTTTAGCAATGAGAATGTTATATAACCTACATTAACTATTCATTTTATATTGCTTTGATTTATATCTTAATTTCATAAAGAAACACATAAAAAAGTATATTTTTGTATAGCAGCCATGCCTAAAGTTCTGACTTTAAAATTGTCAATCTTTTTCCCTAACACATTTTGTTGCTCATTTCTACCAATGATAAACCCTCTTTCATTACACAAAAATACATTTGAAATTATGAAAGTAAAATGTTATTTTATCTACAGTTTAGTTTATTTTAAAGTAGATCCTAGATCAAACTTTTCTAAAACCAATTTTACCCATTTCTTAAACAGGTACATATTTTAATATAATAAAACATTTAAAATATTATTACATGATACTTTTATCAGTTATCAGCAGAAAACTTCACAAAGTTGAAATACAATTAGACTTAAGCCATTTATGGAGCATTTTGTTTTCAGAATGTTTAATATTTTTCAGAAATCAGGCTAAAAAGTAGTTCTCACTTGTATATATGTGTCATTACTTTACAAAAAATTGTTTCACCATGCTTATATTGTACATGGTTTTAAGACAAAATGTTTTAAATCTATGTAAACTAAATATTTTGCTTGTTTTTTGAATAATCTCAATTTTACCACAATTGACAATATTTTCGAACTTTTCTTTACATACCCATATTACATAAGGCTTTATCATGTTTATTAGAGAATGCTGAAGTGAAAAATGTCGACTCATTCAAAATATACACATCTCTGCTAATACTTATAAAATCATAAAGGAACAAAACATAGATGACAAAGGAGTGTGTCAGTAAAATATTCACTTACAATTTTCACAATTTGGATTGTAATTCTCATTGGCAGTACATTTACTTTGAAGCAACTATTTTTCATACAGCATCTCGCTAAACTTTTTACAGCATTTTTAGGTAGGTTATATTCATTTTAGTGATGATAAATCTAAGTCTTAGAGAGATTAACCATTTTAAACCCCAAATTAAATAATGGTTGGGCCGATATCCTTTTGTCCTTTCTTCAGTTTGTACTGCCTCCTAAAGATGTTTATTTCAGTATTAGGAAATGAGCTACAAGGGATAGAAATACTTTTCACATATATGTACCTAACGATTCTCGCCATTTCTTTTCATATTCTTGGTCATAGGGGAAGACCTAATATTCACAACTAAATATAAATTACCTTTAAGTAAAATGCAGTGTCTTCCAAACCCAGGACTAGAAAAATCACAAAAGTATGTTTGTTGGCACATTGCTTTGTAATATATTCTATGTATTTGAAACTTGTGGAATATGCCACAAATAAAACAAAAACTCTAACTCATGATTTTTTTTCCTACCTTTAACAAAAACTCCTCTCACTTTTTTCCTTGAAGTGTTTTCTAGCACTTTAACATTCTCTTACACCCATGAGTTTTATCAGGTACAACAATATCCTCTTCCCTACTAAGTATACAAAAGTGTCATTTATTAACAAAACGCACCGAAGTGATTGTTAGAACATCTGCTGCTAGAATTAAGGACTTTTTTCAATTGAAATCACAATTGAGACTGAAATCATTTTGTTTTTGGGCTTTTGATATACAAATGATTGGTCATTTCTTTAAATTCCTTAAACAATCAAAATTAGGCAAAGTAGCTATGGACTGACTATAGCCGAATTTAAAGTCTAAAATGTAATGAAAATAATGAAATGTTTAGACTATCTTAGGTTCAAAAGGATCACTGTGTATGCATAAGGCAAAAAGATAGCCTGCAAAGGATAACCAAAGTTAGATACTAAAATGTGTAAAATATTTCTTAAAGGAAAACATTTAAATGTAAACATTTCACAAACTTCAAATAATAGTCGATGGATGCTTTTAGGTTATTTTTAATGCACCAGGTTTATTTACCAATTCAAAAAAACCACTTGTAAGTAGTAGATACTTTAAAAATTCTTAGGGTAAACAAATCGATATATATTAGAAGTATACAAGAACGAGAGCCAGGAGCAGACTGAGTCCCTACGTTATAAATAACGCCTTTTTAATAAAAAGGGTGTGCTTTATCAGAAATCCAAGGAATACCAATTTATAGAAACAACAGAATGCTGGCCACATTTAAGTTAATGGCTGGAGGCCATTAGTAGGGGATTGAAGAATGTACAAAGAAACAGAACCATCTCAAAAAAGAAAAAAAAATGCATTATTCATCCCTCAAAGAACCCAAATAGAGGGGGAAGTGATAACAGGTCCTCACAAACCCACAAAAGTTCAGGCATCAGGAGATGTGGCCAGATACCACTTCTTGCCTCTCAGTCACTAGGCCTCTCCCCATTTGGAAACCAGCTGGTGCAAGAGGCAGGTGCTCCACACTCTTGGGGATTCCCCAGGCCCACTGCGCAGCGCCTCCGCGCAGCTCCCGGAAGTGCCGGCCCAGTACGTACGCGGGGCGGGGCGTGCAGAGGTGGGCGGGGACGTGAGCAGAGGAGGAGAGGCCGAGCGAGGCCCCGCCCCTCCCGGCCGGCCGGCCGCGGCCTCCAGCTAAGGCCCGGGTTCCGCGGGCTCCGGGTCCGGAGCGGGAAGGCCGGGCTCGGGCTCTCGCGGGGACGCCTCCTCCTTGTCGGCGGGCGGGCGCGGCGTCCGCTGCTCCAGGTGCAGCTGCAGCAGCGCGCGGCGGTACATGGCCTCCAGCTTCTCCAGGCGGGCCCTCAGCGCCCGGGGGCTGCCGGGCTCCCGATCGGGGCTGCCGCTTCTCGCCGTCCGGCCCGCGCCGGCCTCCTCGGGGCCCGGGCTGGCTCTCGCCGCCGCCGCCGCCGCCGCCGCCGCCGCCTCGGGCGCTCCTCCGTCGCCTTCCTCGCCGGGGAGCCGCAGGGCCTGGCGGAAGAGGCTGCGGTTCTCGCGCTTGAGCCGCCGGTTCTCCAGCCGCAGCCGGGCGTTCTCCTCCCGCAGCCGCGCGTTCTGCCGGTCCCGCTCGTCCCGCGCGCGCAGGGCCTCCAGGTGGCTCGCCGCCAGGTCGGCGAAGCGCTCCTCCAGCTGCGGCCGGGCGCCGTCCGCACGGCCTCGCCAGCCCCCGCCGCCGCCGCCGCCGCGACCCCGGCCCGGGCGGCCCTGCCCGCCGCCGGCCCCGCCGCGGCCCCCGCCGCTCCGGCCCCCGCGCCGGCCGGCGCCACCACGCATGCGCCACATCGGTCCCATCGCCGCCGCCGCCGAGGCCGAGGTCGCGCTCCGGGGCTCCGGGCGAGCTGGGCCGGCGGGGCGGCCGAGGCCACGCGGAGGAGGCGCTGCTGGCGGCGGGCCAGGGGAGGCCGGGAGCCGCCCGTCGAGGCGTGTCTTGTCTCCGCGGCGGGGCTGCAGGGCCTGCGGGCGGCGGGCCGCGCACACACAATGGCCCTGGGGAGCTGGGGCGCGCCTCCAGCAGGGCCCTGCCTGGCGCTTCCTTCCTTCCGTGCAGGCCCAGCTCCGCGGGAACCGCCGGCCGCGCCCAGCCCCACCTCTGCAGCCGCCTGTACCTGGCTCTTCACTTACAATCTCAAAGCAAACAGTGATAAGCCCCTGGACAGCCACAGGGGCAAACCTGAAATGCTGCACCCACTTCTGTAGGACGTGCTTTAAACCATCTCTAGGCTTTATACACACCCAACAGAGCGGAGCTGAGCATCTGTCAGGAGGCCCTCAAGTGCCAACAGGTAGCCCTCAAATAAAATAAATGGGCCATTCTCAATTTGTGAACAGCCTGAAGGCCACTTGCAAACTGCAACTCCATCAAACCTAGGAAAGGCAAAGTGTGCTCCATTCAAGAAACATTGCATATTCAGTAAGTCACAAACTCTGGGGACAGGTGCATACAACTCATTAAATGAGTCACATTCCTTTTTTTTTGTTTTAAGAATCTCAACCTACAAAAATAACGGTTATTGCAAAGTAAGTTAAGGATAAGATATGGAAGCCAAAAATGTTATAGGGGAGAAAAGGACTAGAAAAAACCTGTTTTTAAAATTCTTAGATTCACTAAAGTCTCCAAACTACTGGAGCGAGTAAATGAGCAAGAAGAGGATGGAAGAATCTTGGTTCACAGAGCCAGGATTTTCATTAAATACCTTATTTCCCCGAAAATAAGACAGTGTCTTATTAATTTTTGCTCCCAAAGATGCGCTAGGTCTTATTTTCAGGGGATGTCTTATTTTTCTATAAAGAAGAATATGGTACACATTTATTGTTAAATGAAAAGAAAGGAAATTTATAACCTGTATATGGTACAGTAGTATGGTAGTTGTCAACACAAACCAGACAAACTGAATCCTACAGTATCAAGAATTTACTCATTTATTCAATGACAATCATGTCGTCATCTTTTGGAACATCATCATAACAATCCAATTCCTGAATTTCCTGATGAATTTCTTGTGACTCCATTTCTTTCAGAATCAGTGGACCAAATCTCTCATGTTTGGGCGGGGGAGGGGGGGGCTTATTTTTGAGGGGATGCCTTATACTTCACTCAGAAGGAAACCTGTAAGTAGGTCTTATTTTCGGAGGATGTCTTATTTTTGGGGAAACACGGTAGTACAAATAAAGAGTAGCTGGTAAAATACACAGTTATTTAATTTTTTACCCTTTGTAAAGTAAGATCCTAAATACCCACAATCACAAAAACCACTTGTCATTCTCATTTCATGAAGTAAAAAAGCAGGAAAGATGTAATTTCAGAATTTCAAAAGTGCAAATTTTGTTTTATTAAGAACTATATCATTCTAAATTCCCATTCAAAGTAAAATATGTAAACTTTTGCAGATATATACTGACTACTCTGGATTATTGAACAACAACAACGACAAAATGTTTTCCCCATAGTGTATACAGAGAATGCAAGAAAATGCTGGTATGTAAGGAAAGGTGATTCTCAATTTTAGATATGTTGGAGTTTTAGGAATCTGTGAGATGTTAGATAGATATGCCATGGAAGCTAAAGAAAAACACTGCATAAGATTCAGTCACCCCCTCTGGGTGTTACGAATTGAATATTACTGTATTTTATTTTAGTTACACTCTCCTCAGCAACACATTAATAAATCTATTAGTATTCTCTTATTACAGCTCCCCAGATTAAAGCAGACACACTAGGTTTTCTAACGGGCATTGTTGCTGGTTATATGAGAAGGCCTCCATGCCTTCCTGTCTACACTCCCAAAGTACTTTCTTTTGCCTTGATACAGTAATGAAGGAATGTGAAATATGAAAAGCATGTAAAATAGATTAAACAAAAGGAAATCCAGTAAAATTGACAGTCTGTTTGTTATATCTTAACATTAATCTGATTATACATGAAGACTCCCAAAAGACAGAATTCATTAATACTACCTGACACTCTGAGTCAGGTATATGTCAAATAGACTAACTTTATTAATAGGAAGGAATAGAGGAAAGGAAAGGGGAAAAAAAAAGAGAAAAAAAAGAATGGGTAAGGGGAGAAAAGGGAAAAAAAATTATTCAACAAAAGCTATCAAATACAGTTATAAAAAAAAGTCATGAAAGTTATTTATGCAGAGCAATGAACATTCACCTTAGGGTTAATAAAGATTCTACCAATCTTTCTGAATAGGAGGTTTAGACAATGGATGTAATTTCTAAATTGAAAGTATTTGGGTTAACAGAATGACTGCAATGATTGATGCCAAAATTATTACTTGTGTTTAAATTTAGATAATATCCCAAGAATTCTATATCTGAATATGAACATATATGGTACATAATTTTTAAATAAAGGAGCACAGAACTTAGAAGAATACTTCTACCCACCATTGTTAATGATTTGCATCTGACAATATTGTGCTAATAGTATAACATATGTGAAAGTAAATGAAAAAATCTTAGAAAGGAAAAATTATGAAACGTAAATAGACTAAATATGAAGTTATATTCTTAAAAGAAGAGAATATAGGAATATATATAAATTGGAAAAAATATAAAAGATAAATGCCTGTGCTTTCCTTTAAAGATGGGAGTTTCTAAACAGTAAAATTACTTGCTTATTAATAGAAAAAAACATCAAAGAACACAAATCTGTTGTGGGGTCAAACTGTGGGTTCAAAATAAGACCACCGGAGGCTGATTAATTAAAAAAAAGCAGGCAAGGATTTATTGAACTGGCCAGGACAGCCACGAGAGCACCCACGCAGGTGGTCTCCACATGACCGCACAGTTTCAGGGGTAGGCAATTCCTTTTAAAGGTTTAAACTGCAAGAATTTTCCTTTTGTTCCTAAATCCTAAAGACTAAATTATAAAGACTGGGGACAGCCCGAAGGGTCGGTTCCCAGTCACATCCTGCTGGACATTGGAATGTGGCCCTATCTTGCGATAGCGATAACACAGAAGCAGAGCTCAGTGGTTAGTCTCTAAAGGTTATCTACAGTTTCTATCCCTGAAGCTTCTGAGTCAGTGGGAATCAATCTCCTGTGGTCCTGGTCCCAGGCAAGGGAAAATTGCTTTAGCCTCCAGGTCTCCACCTGGAAGCTGAGGTAAGTACCCAGTGTTTTAATCAGATGCAAGAGCCAGACTTAGCAGGGTTAAAATTCAAACAGCAGTTTTTTACCAAAATATGGTTGCCACTATATTTCAAAATCTATTTCTTGAGGGATCCAAGATGGCTGCTCGGGTAGACATCTAGCCGCGGCAGCACACAACAATTTCAATGGAATACAACTAAAATGTAGAGTGGACATTGCCCAGAGCTACAGTAGTCGACTGACTGAAATTTCTACAACAAGAAGGAAAGAGAAAACCAGAAAGAAAATCAGAGGAACTGAAAAAAAGCCTAAGGTACGGAGACATGCTGCGCGCGCCTGCCCGCCCGCACGCGCGCATGGAGAGGTCGCAGCCGGAGAGGAGGAGAGGGCGGGGACCTGCCTTTCCTTCCCCAACAGGAAGGAAATAAAACCCCCAGCCTGGGCTGAACCCCCGAACCGGCAGCGCTGAGCCCCCCGAACCAGCAGCGCTGAGCCCCAGTTATGGGCCAGACCCTGGGGACCCAGGCTCCGGCGGGAGGAGACAGGGCCGTGAGGCGGAAAAACGGCGAAAGGCAGGGCCCCAGGAGTCCCGCGCAATGCGCGCAGAGGACTGAATGTTGACTCTGATGCTGGGTTGCCCTAGCAGGAAGAAACAAGGCCTCCGGCGGCGCTGAGCCTCAGTCCGGACTGCTCGGAACCCCAGTTCTGGGCCAATCCCTGGGGACCCAGGCTCAGGCAGAGAGAAACGGGGCTGTGAGGTGGAGTCCGGGGAGAGCGGCGAAAGGCCGGGCCCCCGGGACTCGCGCAAACTGCGCGCAGAGGACAGTCTGTGGGACTCGCGCAAACTGCGCGCAGAGGACAGTCTGTGGGACTCGCGCAAACTGCGCGCAGAGGACAGTCTGTGGGACTCGCGCAAACTGCATGCAGGGGACAGTCTGTTGACTCTGATGCTGGACTTCCCTAGCGGGAAGGAGAAAAAAAAAAGCTCTAGGCTGGGGGAACGCGGAGGGGAGCGGAAGCCCCTGCCGGACTCCAGCCAACCGGGCACCAGCAAGGAGGCGGGCCACGAGGCCCCTGGGGGCGTGGGTGCCCCTGAGCCTTTGACCACTGAGCTCCGGCAATGGAGCCAAGGCCGGGGGCTGCTTCCTGGGCGGCGCCATCCCGGCAACAGGCTGAAGCAGCGCAGGAGCCCGCGGAGAACAAAGGGGTGCCACAGGCCAACCTGCTGAGCTCCCAGGACAAGGAGGAAGAAACCAAAGAAGTTCTCAATGTGAAGAAATTAAGTGAGAGCAAAAGATAGTAAAATTACTTAAGAAAGAATACAAAGAAGATCTTGAAAAATCAAAGACTAAGTCAGAACTCAACTCACCAGCCAACATTGCAACATAAATGCGTTTTAAAAAGAAAAAAAAAGGACAGAATGTTGGAACAGCGACGGCCAGGCCTAGAGTGGCCAGGCACAAGGCAGTGGCAGCCAGACCCGGAGCAGCAACGGCCAGGCCCCAGAACAACAGCAGCCAGAACCAGAGCATCAACAACCAGCACTGGAGTAGCCAGACCTGGGGCAGTGGCAGCCAGGCATGAGGCTGAGGCAGCCAAGCCCAGGGTGGCCAGTCCAGGAACACCCAGACCCGGAGTGGCCGGGCCCGAAGAAGCCGGGCCCAGAGCAGCCGGGGTGGGAGCAGCCAGAC